GTGCACCGTACCGCTCAAGATTTTCGAGCTCGGTGGCAGTTCGAGTACGTGCTATCGCTCCAACGCACAGTGGTCTAAAAGTGCCAAAACGTGTTTTTTTAGTTTATGCAAAAACGGTCCATTTAAGCCATATAGTGTCTTGTGCGAAGTTTGTGCTCTCAAAAAGCCCCTTCTTTTAAGCTTAGCCATTTCAGGATTAATCCATCTAGCAGGGAGATGAAAAATTTACTTTTTTTGTTTGTCGAGATAGCAAAATGGTGTCTTAAGCAAAGTCTTAGACAATACTAAAACAAACATTTTTGCTCAAGACATCAACCCTCTATCTCTTATGTTTACAGAGATATGTCATTTTTTGGTAAGAGTCTTCAGAAAATCAATTTTTGCAAATAACTTTTCAGGAAGCAATTTTCTTACATTAGTATGTTCTACACAAATGTTTGTTTGAAAAAATACGCCATTTTGTCTTGGGAAGCAAGTTCTTATCTTCAATATTTCTTGAGATATTCAAGGTTTTGATCCAAAATTAGCACTATTTCCAAGGTCAATAGCTCAAAGTTGGGCAAAATTGGGCAAACCAGGTTGATTACATTTGAAAATATACTTAAAATGCAGCCCAATGCATACCAAATCATTAGTCTTCTTTAGTATTCTCTGCCAATCTACTTATTACCAAACTATAGGGTCACGACTTTCCGTATTATTATGCTACTGTTGTTTTTTTTTTATGAACATTAAATACAACATTACTACCTCAAATTATTACTACCCATATCTGAATATAGTTATATTTCATCAACCATTTCATACAATATCAAAGAAAAAAAAATATTTATCGTTACCCATTTCCTCGTCACTTTCAGAATTGTCGCTTACTTCTGTTTCACCATCGGTTCATGCATCGGTAGATGGAACTAGAAGCTACGCAACCCAATTTTTATTTTGGTTCCCTGCAGTTCTCCTCCAAATATTAAACAACTCACGTTTGTCAATAGTTTCTAAATATTTAAAATAAACACATATTTTCAAACGTTTCAAATAGTGATCAAAATAAATTGCACTTACCTGAAGAAACCAAAAAAGATATTTCAGAGCTTATTATCGTGATTATATACAACCGCTTACGTTCGAAAGCCAATGACACATTGCTACAGACACCGGGACTCAAATAGTGGGAGGAACAAGGACCAATGTTCGTTCAGTTAACCGGTTACTAAAACAAACACCGAGAATCACATTCCGGGAAGAACATGAACCACTGTTCGTTCAATCAACCGGTCACTATTACCGTCCTTTTTAGCACTACAATAGACACCTGTCACGAGAACCACTGTTTATTCAGTCAACGAATCACTACAATAGACACCACGAATCACTTTCTTGTCCTGTCAACCGCTCACTACAATTTAGAATTTGGAATCAAAACTGTTACCACACGCGGCTTTGCAACGCCAACTCTTGTTTTGCACGCCTACTTCGATTTAACCGAATTCGAATTTTCGTTCTTCAACACCAATAGTAAGTGACGTATGAAGTAGCCTCTATGTACAAATGCAAGAAAACGATTATCTGTATACGGTTTACTATAGTTTGGTAATAAGCAGATCAGCAGAGAATACTAAAGAAGACTAATGATTTGGTATGCATTGGGCAGCATTTTAAGTATACTTTCAAATGTAATCAACCTGGTTTGACCAATTTTACCCGACTTTGAGCTACTGGCCTTGGAAATAGTGCTAATTTTGGATCAAAACCTTGAATATCTCAAGAAATATTGAAGATAGGGACTTGCTTCCCCAGACAAAATGGCGTATTTTTAAACAAACATTAGTGTAGAACTTGCGCGTTTCACACCAAATTGGACTAATAAGCGCATTTTCACTTATTAAAAAGTGTGATAAAACTTCAAGTTTACGTCTAATCGTCTTGGTGTCTTCGGTGCACTTATCCTTATGATGCAAGCAATAAGTGCTCCGAAGACATCAAAACGATTTGACGGAAACGTGCACTTTTATCACACTTTTTGCATTTTTGGGACAGTCCAGTTAGAGATGCAATCAGCAATACTAATGTCAAAAAATTACTTCCTGAAAAGTTATTTGCTAAAATTGATTTTCTGAAGGCTCTTACCTAAAAAAAAATAACATATCTCTGTAAACATAAGAGATAGAAGGTTGAGGTCTTCAGCAAAAATATTTGTTTTAATATTGTCTAAGACTTTGCTCAAGACACCATTTTGCTATCTTGACAAACAAAAAAAAAGTAAATTTTTCATCTCCCTGCAAGGTGGATTAATCATGAAATGGCTAAGTTTAAAAGAAGGGGCTTTTTGAGTGTACACACTTCTCCCAAGACACTATATGGCTTATATGGAACGTTTTTGCATAAACTAAAAAACGAACGATTTGGCACTTTTAGACCACTGTGCAACGGCTACTGTGTTACCTACCTGACTTATAACGAATATACGTTGTATACGAGTACCTCGAATAGAACGTATGACTCGTCTAATTTTGTATAGCATTTGCAATGTAAAATTAGACGAACTATACGTTGTATTCGGGGTACTCGTATACAACGTATATTCGTTATAGGTCATGTAACACAGTAGCAACATGGCAAGCATCATCCCCTAATGTCGCAGAAGGTGATTTTGTGCTCCTTGTCGACAGGGTTGCTTTCACTCACTTGCTATAAAAAAATGATTTTTGGATGTGTTTGACACATGAAATCTGTCAATTTCGCTTTCAGAGTGTTACTATCAGCGATTTTATGATTCATGAGCGTTCACTTAGAGTGAGCGCTCGCGAGTCGTTGAATCGCTGATTGTGACTATCTGAAAGCGAATTTGACAGGTTTCATGAGTCAAACACTAGCCTTTCAACTTATTCTTGTATCAAACAAGTACAAACTATCATTATAACATCTAATGATTCCAAAATTCCGAAAAAAATTATAGCAAGTGAGTGGAAGCAAGCCTGCTTGTTGATGGCAACGAAAAATCGCAGCGGTGGCCCCTGGGACGTGTTATGGAGCTTTTCCCGGGGAACGATGGACTCGTCAGGGTTGTCTCGGTCAAGACAGCCAAGAGTGTTTTCCGTAGAGACGTCAGAAAGGTTCGACGATTGCCAATCGACAGCGACGAGTACGTTCCAGGAAGACATGGGACGAAAGTTTGCCGATAGTTTGTCCGCCTCGCCGTGTGTGTCACGCTAACAACGCCTTATCCTTGAAAAATCATAATAGGGGAAATGGATGTAACGTTGGCCTAAATGCGCCCATACATAAATTCAGCAATCGACTAAATTTTCAATAGCAACCAAAAATATCCATTAGTACCGTCCCAATGACACGTTCATCTAGATTAAAATTATAAATAGTAGATTGTTTGCAATGGGCCAAATATTAGATTCATAGGCCAACATTTGAGCCTATCTTCAAAGAAATTCAAAAACTTTTGTGTTCTGTGCTCGCTGGAGGAGGAACAAAAAGTTTTTCGTTTGTTAGAACGCTTTTTGTTCAATTTACTAAGTGAATTTACTACTTAAATTATGAGAATTGTGTTTTGCATAACAGCGAGAAAGTAAAAAAAAAAAATAACCAGCATTCTCATGTCCAGGACCTTTTAGAGGAGCCAAAGTTAGATCCATTGTTGGTTCTAAGATGAGGAGCAATGTTTGTGAAAAGTTTTCAAGTGAAAATGGTATGTTTAGTTACTGATTACCGTATTCAATTGTTAGGGAAAGATGAGCTTTAACCAATGCGTATGTTGACGGTGGAATTTCGTTCTCAGGACAATTATTTCTCGATAACTTTTTCGAAGGGATATATCAGCTATTGTAAACAATGCATTTGATTGTCGATTTGGCGTAACTGGTAGCTCGCTCACATATGCTAACGTTACCATCAGTTAGGCGATTTTTTCCTACCTGCTAATGGTGTTAGTAAGCGGGTGCGAGCTACCAGTTACGCCAAATTGACGATCAAATGCATTGTTTACAAAAGCTGATACGTCCCTTTGAAAAAGTAGTCGAGATTTGTTGAAATATGATTAAAATTATCAATTGGTGACAGCTTATTAGCCGCAGGTTAGGGACATGTACCTTATTAAGCAAATAAAAAAAATATTTCAAAATAAACTCTAGCGAATACAAACAACTTTACTCAAACCAAAATAATTGTATGAGAAGAAGTTCCTAGTAAGTTGATGATTTTGCCGGATTTGCAGATTTGTCTAAAAGGATGACATGCATCAAATTTGCGCATGAGCAAAGAAGTAAGAAGATAATGTTTGTTTGTTAAAAATCATAAACGATATTAGTGCGTAAATTTGGATTTTCCAACGAATCAAAACCTTCCAAAACAAACCAATATATACCGGTATGGACGGCTAAAATAATAAAACAAATTTATTACGCCTCCGCCTAGGTCTAAATCCAATCCTCTCCCAGCACTGTAGCCTACAGTTTTTATGCTATGTTTATATGTGCATTGATAACACGTATACTTTAAAAAATCTTATGGGAATAATCATTAATGAAGCTTGAATTTTTCATGATTAGCTTGCCTAATTTGAAAATTAATAAATGTTTAATTCCTACATGTACGCGCTTGTTGAACATTTATCACGATTATTTTGCCGCGCAACAAATCAAACATCTATGTGTACGGAGCATAATTTCTCAATGTTCGCATCAGCTGTCTTAGATTGGCAGATAATCGAGCCAAAGAACCAACAACTTTGGCTTCAAACAAAATGTTCGTGGATGACGTTTCTGCCACCGGAGTGTCTAAATCATGCGGGTGATTAAAAATCAATAATGGAACAAACGAATTTTTGCACCTCCTTCTTCTCCCTCAATCACGGCTGACGATGACGAATGACTCAATCAGCTGCTACCTACGACTCAAATATTTATCACCCCACAAAAAAAAACACACACACAAACATCTGGCCAAACGGTGGTGGCGTCATGTTACACAATTCCCCATCACAAACATACCTGTCGCAATTCCACCCGCGCATATTCCACCGCATCGTCCAGCTCCCCAATGCTGCTAGCCGTATCGGTAAAATCGGTATCGCTGTACTCCGATCCCGTCAGATAGGGCGGCTCGTAGAGGTACTGTTTTCTTCTGATTTGGACACTTGGAGCCTTCGGAGCTCCACCCGGCGTAACGGTTCGCACCGATTCCACGTCCGATTCGGCCAGCACTTCCCCCCCGGGGTCGTTGTTACTAGATTTGAACTTCACATCGTTGTTATTCGTTTCCACCACCATCAGAACTACACTGCCCTGACTGCTGCGGCGATCTACTTCCGAGTTGGGCCTGTGGTGGAAATCCACGGCCACTTGGATATCCTTCTGTACGACACATCCCTGCTCGTCACCACTGCTGATCACACTCACATGCCTGGAATCGGTCACACTTTCTTCACCACCCCCACTCAAATCACAAACCTGTACCTTCTTCTCATCAGGCACATGCTCCACAACTTCTTTGGCAACACTGACTGCATCTTCTTCCTCCCGCGTAGCCTCCTCCACGGCTTTCAACTCCAAGCTCCTCCGATTCTTCCGTTTCTCCGCAATCTTGCTTTGCTTCCGTGGAATCCCATTGGCCACCGACTTGCGGCTGTCTTTCGATTTGTACTGTCCACCAACCGCAGGCTTCTTGCCGCCATTCTTCGATTCAGCAATCGGTTCTACGCCGGCTGGCAGTTCATCGACAGTTCTGCTTCCGTTCGGTCTGGATCCCGGATTTAACAGTTCGTAAATCGTCGGAAAGGCACACTGCAGTCCTCCTTCCTTCAGCTGCTGAAAGATCAGGTACGAGGTATCCGTGTAGCGTGACTTAGGCTGCAGAAGGAAAGGCATTTTGTTTGTTAGTTTATAGAACACTAGTAAATCAAATCAAAGCAGGCTTGGGTACCCGCTTTGTCCTTCGTTCTGAGAGTTTCGCGCACGGTCACTGACAACTATCAACTGAAGGTACGCAAAGATTGTGACAACGCACGGCCGACGACGATTGCCTGTTATCAATGCTCAATTTTTTTTTATGTTTTCGGTTGCTGATAACAGCGGATGGATGAGTCAAAACAGAATCAAAAAACAAATTTCTGGAATAAGGTCAACGTATATATGCTTGTTTTGAGCGTTGAGCGGATTACTTCATAGGCGCAATAACCTACTGCGATTAGAATGCTGGGGGAAATATCGATGGAAGGGAAACGAAGGAATTGTAGTAGCCTAACCACAGAGTGGTAGGAAGAAAAATATGAACACAGTTAAAAACACGTGTTCTTTTGCTACGGGGAAATTTAGAGGGTGGGGTGAATGAAAAATTATTGTGATTTGTGTAAACACTTGACGAGAAAGGAGAGGAGCGGAAATGGACCGACAACGACGAAGAAGAGCAATAACATTCCGGCAGTCTGTGTCTCATCACCTTGATCTTGTTTTTATGGTCTTATACATTTTCAATTGGGTGTGCGTGCCTGCATCCAGATGTTCTCCGGTGCATCGACTTATTGTACGAGGAAATTCTACTTTTTCACAGCTAGACCTGAGCGCCGGTCGCTATGATTGTGAAGTGAATATTGAAAAGATAATTGAAAAGGACGTAAGATGAACCTTATACAATTGTTTTTATTGACAATAATCGTATTTTCAATACATTTTTTACTAACGTCAATACATTGATATTGAAAATATTTCAATATATATTGAATAACACGTATCAATACGTGTGGGGGTCGCTTAAGGGCTGGGGCTCGAAGTTATGTCAAGGTATTACCAAGCCTTAGGTAACGGCTTAGATTCCAAGTCTGGTTTTGACAACCTTTAAGCGAAGCCCACACGTATCATTATATTGACACGAAGGCGAAATATTGACAATAATATTGATGGTAATAGAGAATACAGAAATATTGTCAATACGAATGTATTGACGTCAATATACAATGTATTGACAATACAAATATTGTCAATAGAAGCAATCGTGTAGGGTCCACTCAGTGCTGTGGTTGTGGGTAGTCGAGGGTAGTCGACGAGTACTTAGCTCCAAACCGAAAAAAAAGTTTACAATATAGGTATAATAGAGCAATCCAATCCAATATACATGTTCAGGTGGAAATTGAAAAATCGGTAAATTTGAAATGACAAGCGCCCCTGGTAGACAAGTTCAGAGAAAAATTATCAAAATCGTTAAATTTTAAACGGCTTGTGCCCCTGACATACACATTAAGGAAAAAAAAAAAATATTCGAAATGGTTTGCGCCCCTGATAAGCATGTTAAAACTTATTAAAATTGTTCAATTTGAAGTGGCTAGCGCCCCTGATATTCCTGTTCAGATTTTTTTTTATACATGTTAAATCTGAAAATATATAAAATTTTAAATCTTAAATCAGAAAATAAAATAAAAATTAAAAATTTGAAATACTCTGCGCCCCTGACATACCAACATGATCTGGGATAAATAATTGTTAAATTTGAAATGATTTGCACCCTTGGAAGACAACTTCAGGAAAAAATTGAAAAATATGTAAAATTTGAAATGGCTTGCGCCCCGGGTAAACATGTTCAGGTAATAATCTATCAAAATAGCTTAATTTGGAGTAGCTTGTACCCCTGGTAAACATGATCAGGGAAACATTAAAAAATATAAATTTGAAATGGCTATAGTAACAAGGCAAGGTAGACAGGTTTACGGAAAAATTTAAAAACAAACATGGTAAACATGATGTAGGAGAAATTTATACATAATATTAAATTTTAAATAGTGGTGCCCCTGGTAAATATGATCAGGGAACAATTTGGTAAAATTGGAAAATGCTAGCTCCCTGGTAAAGCATTTCAGGTAAAAATTGATAAAAATCTTAAAATCTCCTGATGGACACGGTCAAGAAAAATTAAAAACAGATATTTTTAGCTTAAATAGCTACCGCTCCTGGTAGAAAAGTCCAGGGAAAAAATTAAAAAAAAGTTACATAAACATTTTCAGGGCCCTCTAAATACACGTTCAGGAATAAAGGTGACAGGCACGAATCAGGTTCATGATCTTCTGAGATACCCCTTACAATCTCTCCCCAACAGGGGAGTTTGGTAAAGGAGATGATCAACCCGATTCGTGCCTTCCTCAAAATTGACCTTTGCTTGCTTTCTACTCTCTATATACAATTTTCACACTACCGTACTCTAATACCCCGTACAGACTATGGCTTATATCATATAATATAGGCTGTCTTGCAATGAGCACTCATACATCTAGTTTTCATTGGAAATCCTATGTATGAGAGCTCATTGCAAGACAGCCTATATAACATGATACAAGCCATAGTCTGTACGGTGTATAACGGAACCACAGACAAACAGACATAACACTCACAATCACATTCATCGCAAATAATGTTTTAGTTGGGAATGTGCTTGCATTTGTCATGGTGGCGCCACTGAAGCATTGAGCAAGCCACCACATTTTGAACTTATCAGTGATGCCAGTTCTTTCTCACGTCTAGTTAGTAGATGTTGAAAATGATAAGTGGCCAAGGCATTCCACTGGAGACACATACCACATCTGACGAATACAGAATAAAAGTTGTCGGATATTACATCAAAACTGCTGCACAGTAGTCATTCCGTTCCTAATATTACGTTGTACGATGCACACATAATTCGAGAACAAATCATGTTGATGACTGTAATATTCTATCAACTTTTACCAGTTATCGATGTTCAATACTTCACCATGAATATCATTGATTGATACATATTATTTTTTTTCTCCTGTGTACACATTGATGTGATGAGCGGTGGTAAAAAGGGCATTAATAAGTGATGCATTACCACCGACAAACCGACATGAAACTAAAACTTAACTCTTGATCGAGAATCCATAACGGTGGATTCAAATGTGCAGCGATCCCATCTGTCAAAACCATAGAAAATTGTTATCTAGATAAAAAATAATTTGCCGGAATAGATTAGACGCGAACCAACTTATACATTTAGTACGTGTGTTCGTGGCTAGGATACACATTTTTCGCGAACACGGCGGCAGATGTCAGTTTTGTGCTTTGATCAGAAATTTGATGATACTTTGTATGATCATTCATGTCGGTTTGTCGGTGGCATTACCTCGTTTAAAAACTTGTTTCCAGCAAAAGAAAAAGCGCACTAAACAAACAAAACAAATCCGTAAAAAAGTCTTAACTTCTGAGAATTTTTCTTTCGGATCCGTATTTCTGCAGAATTCAATCAATTTTAAAGATCTTCGGAAAATTTCGTAGAACCGACATCACTGACTTCCATCTGTTTTGTTTTTATTCAACACAGCTGACGAGTTGACAGAATGAGGGAAAAGCAACTAGTGAAAAAATTGCATGCACGAGGGATGTTCCGGTTGCAAAACATTGCTTGGGAATGTGGATGATAGATGGTGCTAGTACGCATGCAAAATACGCTTGACGATACATTTTGAAGAATTTTCTTCTAAGAGTTATGTCTGTTTGTCTGTGACGGAACTATCAACTCTATACATTCATCTCCTTATCTATCGTATAAAACGAGAACTTTAAGTCTGATATTTGACATTCAGCATCTCTAACTATGAAAAAAAAAGAAGTTAAATAGTACCACTGAAGTGTTAAAAAGTTCATTTGGTTGAGGTTAACTACTAACGGGGCAAATCCTTATTGGCGGACAAAAGTTGGCGCTACTTAGTGGCTTAAAATAGAAATTTTGACATCATGATGGTTTCAAGATTCTTTCACGGTGAGGTATGGGAGAAAAGTTTGGAATCATATAAAAAAGCTCGAAATCACTTCGGAAAGTACGGAATCCTTGATAATCATTCGGAATCACTTTGAAGAGTCTAAGAGACGAACCAGCCTAAGGCTGAAAGTCTCTATAATAAAGACAAAAAAAAAAAAAAAACTTTGAAGAGTAGTTAATCACTTCATAAAAGTTCGAAATCACCTCTGGGCATACTGAATCATTTCAGAGAAAAGTTCGAAATCGCTTCAGAAAAGCTCGAAAATTCTTCGGATAGTATTGAATGGCTTAAGAAAATTTCTAAATCTCTTTGGAAAATACTTAACCTTTCTAGAAAATTTGTAATCGCTTCCGTAAGAACTGAATAATTCCGGAAAGGACTGAATCACTTCACAAAACTTTGGAAAATTCTGCATCAATTTTCTCAAGTTTGCAATCACTTCCTCAAGAACTGAATCACTTCAGAAAAGTGTTAAATCCCTTCAGAAAATATTTAATCGCTTCAGAAATTAACTTCAAATTTATATTTTAAGGGCGCAAATCAGTATTGAGAGTGACTACTTAGCTAAAATTTTAGGAACACACCACTTTAGGGTAAGAAATTTCTTGACTTCCCTGGTAGTACCATTGACTTCTCGCCGCATGTTGTCACTTATACCAACTAGCTAGTGTAGCAGTGTACATATCGACAGTGAGCATGCATAAGGGCGTAAACGCGATGATCGATTCTCTTCGTCGATTTTCTCTTTTGTTAATAACTCGATAGATTTAACGTTTCTACCTATTACAAATCTGCATTGAACAAATTCTAGAAACTTGTTTCGCTTAGCTGCAGCAATGCAAAGAGAAAATCGATGAAGAGAATCGATTACCGCTTATACGCCCTTATACATGCTCACTGTCGAATTGATTTATGTATTATTTTCAACCAAGGAATCATCTGTCAATGTGTTCGACATGACAGCGGTTTTTTTTTTTTAATGTTCAATTTTAGAGGATAGGAGACAATAGGGGGACTTTTATGAACCAATTATCTGTCAAACGCGAACCAGCGCCTGACTGGTTGGGTGAACGTATAGAAACGCAA